CAATCTTTGGATAATTCCTTAATAGCACCTTGGTCAACACATAAACTCCTTGAAACCAACACATGGACTTCAAGAAATGCCTATAGACAAATCCTTCAAATATGACTCAATGCAACCATTAGTCCATAGAGAATGTCATCAATTACCAAAACCACACATGGGGGCACCGCATGGCCTTTCAAGATGGAAATCACCCGACGAGATTGGGAAGGGTGGAATTTTTTTCCGGTGGATCGGGCTGGCTCTGATAACTATTGTTATGTTCCCACACGCTCTAAGTAGTACTCTGAGTAAATATTCGATACAAGCCCCGATCGGTCTAGGGTTCCACGGAAGAAGAGAGGGGAATCAGGAGGGAAGAGAGCCGCAACCAACCAATTACTTTCTCCACACCTCGCGCAGGAGGCTTTGAGACCTACTTAACCCTACCCGTCGTCTCCCAAGTATGGGCCGGAAACATGCTGTTGGGCTTCACTTTGCGTCGCGGTCGTTCCAGTCCGTTGGTTGATGTAGCAGCCTGGCCCGTAGTGGTTGCTGCAGGTGGGGCCAGGGTGGCAGGGACCGTAACACGCTCCAGTATTCTTTTCACCTTTTCCTAGCCGTTTGTCTCTTTTGTTCATATATATTGTTTTATTTTGTTCTCAAAGAGTGAAAGTTCTTGCTGCTACATTTTAGGTTATATTTGATATTTGAAGAAATGTTTACACCGGTGTTTTGGCGTACATAGCTTGGATTTTGACAGCTATACCGTGCTACATGTTATCATAGATTTGAAACATATGTTGGGGCACACATTACAACTGGAATTTAAATACCCTTCTAGGCTATGATCTTCTGTTGAAGAATGAACTATGGGCTCTTCATCCGTTTTAAATTTGCATCAAATTTGTTCACATTCATTAAACTTCTTCTGAAATGTAACTGAATACTTGCGGCTAGCTTTGGATACTTCCATATCCGTGAGACTGGTCCCACCGGTTTGGGGGTCAAGATGCAGACACCCTAACTCTGTTAAACTAGATAATGCCCCGCACGTTGTTGTCGGAATATTTGCAATATATTTTAGAGATATTAATTTTATGAAAATAAGAATATTCAGAGAAATAATATAAGAGTTAAAACTAAAAATACATATGGGTTTTTTTGTGTTTGATTATTATATTTTTGTAAAATATTTATTAAATATATCATGCATGTCTGCATGTTGATATAAACCTTTTCTATGGGGGTGTTTGGTTTCAGGGACTTTTTTGTGTTGGGACTAGAAAAAGTCCCTAGCAAACCAAACAGGATGGGACTTTTTTGAGACTTTTTGCTAAAAGTTCTTAGAAGCACCTTCTTGAGAGTCTTTTTTAAAAAGTCTTAGGACTAGAGAAACAAACACCACCTATGACTCATTGAATGTTGAGGTATGCTTTTTCTAGTGCATGTTAAAAATGTTTGCACGTTGAAAGAAATAGGTTAACAAAGGCTAGCTATTTATATATAGAAGACTTTGCAATAAAGTGCCAACTGGTGGGGTTTTTTTTCTTATACAAACACACCCCCTTCTCCTAGCCGTTGGTTCGACGACTGGAAGACCTAGCCCCAGCACGGCATGCCGCACGGCGATGGCCACACGACCCTCTCCTCTTCCCTGACCTGCTCCGCGGTAGACACACGAGGGCAGTCCGCGCCGCGCTGATTTGTTTCCGCCCCAGATTCCTTCTGGTACGCGAGGTGCGCACGACCTGTATTATTAGAGTGTCATGTTTCCTGTTTGCTAGATTTACTAATTTTGCGCCAGATCTGTCCCCGCTTTTGCTGTTAGGTGTACGAAATGTACCACCCACGTTGGTAATATGCATTGTGCCCTAGAAACATGGGATAGGAATCTAATTCCAGTGTCTGGGTCAACTTGAAGTCTTGAACTGGACTAGTTGATTCCATTCAAATTCTAGCAGGTGGAGATTCTCTTATTTACCCTGGCACTCGTTTGGAACCTGAAAAATTGGATTTATAATCGGCTTGTATATTCCAGTTCTTAAGAATTTGAACCCATCTCTGAAATCCAATTCAGTTCTTGGGAGCACATGTCCTTGTACTAGGATCCGTTTCATGATACTTCACATCTGGGCAATGTGCTTGTAGCAAAGGAAATAAGGGAAGGGGCTGGTCGGATTATAAGTTTTAACTGTTTGTGAATAACATCTCTTCACATCCCTCCATGCAGGAGGATCCTTAACGAGACGGTATGTGCAAAAATGACCTTCAGCCAGCATTGTACCTGCACGCTCCAATCTGGCAGACTGTTTCTGATGAGAGGGTCTAGAACTCCAGATTGGCCAAGTACATGAGTGCTGTCAATAGAATGTTAATCAAGTTACCATTCCGCCAAAGAGAGGGAGGTGAGGGTAGCAGGCCGAAGGTAAGAACCTTGTGTCAAATCTTTGATGGTCGGTACAATTGCAATTGAAATACCATGAGCCAGAGCCGGAGGAAGTGAAACTTAATTTTAGGGCTTTGTGTCAGAAGATTTGGTAGGAACTGTGTGGGTCTACATTTGATCTGGTCATTTCAGGAGCATTTCACGTATAAATGCTCTGCTATAATGCAAGTTGCATCTGGAGAATACACACAATGAGCATATTAGGGAATCAGAGTTATGTTTAGCATTGTCAGGTTGTCGTCAAATAAAGTACCCCTTAATTAATTAGGCTGGTATGTTTCCCTCATTCGGCTCAGTCTGCATTTACTACATCTTGACTTGTATAGAAGTCCTTCAAGGGCTCAAGTTGGGCTTAAGGCCCTGGCAGTGTGCCACCTATAATTTGGCTGGTATGAGGCCATTTTAAACGCTGGAGTATTTTTGCATCGAGTTAAATAAAAGGAACAGAAGAAAACACCATGTTGGGGTGCACCAAGCTTGTGTGTTTATCTGCTAATCCATGGGGTTGATCTCAAGTTCAATTGTGCGCAAGTTCTGTTCTTGCTGATTCCCTGCAATATCTGAAGGCTCAAGCATATACTTTCTCAATGTTTCGTATATTGCAGAGCCAGTAGTTAGTAAACATTGAACGAATATAACTCATCCATCTTCTTATTTTACGCGATCTTGCCAATACTTCAACAAGGAAGGGCCATTCCAGCCTGTTGTAGCACTTGAAAGTCCCTGCGATCCCATCTACCATTTTGCTGCTTGGCATTCTAGAGATTTCCTATTACCCTAAACTTTCAAATGTTGGTCAATACTCAATCGTAATATTTTTGTTCAATCAAGTTGGTCGTTGAGCCTAATGTGGAAACCAAGATAGTTCTGGAAATCAAATTACTTATACCAAGCTTCCAAGCTTCATAGTTTAGAGAACCAACCAACTGGGATTATGGTAACACACTGAAAGAGATTGATTATATGCTTTTCGTAATAAGACATTGATGTTAATTCTTAGAGAGGATGGAGGTGAGGGAAAAGCTAAACGGAGAAAAAAAAAAGAAAACCAATAAAAGAGCCTTAGACTGTCCTGATCCCTGCTTGTGTCCATGAAATATTTTGGAACCGCTTTACTCTTGCTGGCTAAGTTTATTTTAGCTTTAACTTTCGCTAAAATCAATTAGATCCAAACCGAAGCTCGCCTTTAGAGTTTCTGTAAACTTACCAATAGCCCACTAGTGTAAAATTGCCTACAATATACTATATTCAAGTTCTCGAGGTACAGCCTTCCAACATACTTCCAATGGATTGTTTTGATGTTTTTGTCTCTCCCTGCTTTTGGTGCGGTATGGTTGGTGCCGACTATTTAATAAACGATGTAATAAGTCTATATGCATCTATGATGAAGAGGCTGAGGGTAATAAAGGCCTCCATTATCTGTAAAAAAATGCTCTGGATCTCATGAGTTTGGCCTAAATCCATATGCTGTCTCTTACCAAAACAATATGTCAACAGCTGATAGCAAGTCACTGGGTTTAACCTTTGCATAAAGTAAACTTTGAAGCATACGTGTTGGAGCACACGAGATACAATTCACTTTGGTAACAAATGGAGATCAATTGTTCATCTCATAATTTTCCTTTTTATTATTTACATCATACGAGTCCTTTTATTTCTCCCTTCCAGTAAGTACAGTTTTATTTGTTATGTACATTGTCAGAGTTTGAGAGTTCTAATTTTCTTGCAGCTACGGTAGCCCTGCAACTGGAGGTCATTGATGAGGGCCTAGATTTGAAAGTCATTGTAATAGATTGGAGAAGAACATATCATGGAATGTAATTGTATACACATCCTTCCAATCAGCACCTGTAGAAAATACAGAAATGTGATGCTGCAGAGGTCATGCTGTCTTGCCAGTTCCATGAATGAAATACTAAGGTAAGATGGCCAAACTTGTTTCTCCTAACCAATTCTTCGGTCTTGTATATTTTCTTCACAGAAGTTATGTTTATCGTTTGCAAAAGTATAGTTCACTTAAAATATGATTTTCCAAATATTTACCCATCTTCCGTTTCTCAGTGATCACTTAGGTCCAGTGTATCTATATGTGTAAAAAGAACACACTAAGCAATTAAGTTGATACATGCGATTTCTATTGTAATTAATTGCGACTGTTAGGGACTCATTTTAGACAAGTGCATGACTGATTACTTGAGTGGAGGGTTGCTGAGGATCATTCGCAGCTAAAATGCACCTTCCCTAGTTATTAGGTTTCCATGATACCTCAAGGATTGTTATGTCTGTGCACAGCCATAGTTATTTAGAATGGAACATTGTAGTAGATACATGGCACGACTATTGACGATTTATGATGCTTTATTTTCATACATGAAGAAATGGAATTTGGTGTCACTTGCAGGTTCAACTATTCATTTCTACTAGTAATTTGGAAACTAAGTTTAAAGGAATAGGGACAGTGAAATTTATTTCTTAATAAATAGCACAATAGTAATGTCAAGGAAAAGTAGTATACCTTGTTGTAAGTCCATGATGCATTTGCCCATATCACTTATTGGGTTAGACTGAAACTTTAAGCGCTCATCTCCTTTGGAAGACTAACTTCCAGGAAGTACAAGCTGCCAATTGAAGTTTTATTGCACATCAGGAGACATTTCCAAACATATTTGCACTGATGTGAGGGAAAATGCAACTGTTATAAATGGTACTGGTACGTCAATTTATGTATCAGTGCATTGTTAGATAATGTTACCAAATTATGCCCTTTGCATCAATTCTTTGTCAAATTACGATCTTATATCACTACATGTTTCTGAGTTTTCTTCTGTATATCACTAATGTGGTCCCTTAAATTTGTGTGAAGCAGTTGTTTCTTTTGGGGGCATAAATATATGTAACGAGTCCTGAGCAAAAGGTGTTCCGAAATCTTTTTAGATAGTTATATATTGTACTAGAATTCGTTAAGTTATAAAAAAATATGAAGATACAAATTTTGATACAAGACCTTTGTGATTTTCAAGTTCTGACATACGGACACAAACTGCTAACATATTCAATATAGTAAGTTTATGCATTACTTCCATCTTGCATAGTATTCCCTACTATGAAGCCCTCACTGAATTGAAAGATCTTAATAGGATTTCAACTGTTTGGAATTTGTGCAATAAGGGACCTTTTGGATTTCAACCGTTTGGAATTTGTGCAATATGCCTACATACGGACACAACTTTTTGGATCAAAGAATAAGACCACCAAAATTCCTGTGGATTCCTTTCCTTCACCTCATTTGCATAGGATTCTTAAGTCCTAACAGGAGGTTAAACCTCATGTAATTTTCCTTTGTGTCTTGCATGCACCTTCTCTCTTTTTTGATTCCTGTTTACTTCCTGTGGAGTATGCAAACATCATCTGTGCAAATTCCTATGTTTTGGTTCCAAAATCATGACATTTCGGTGCTATGTGCTTCCCATTCCTGTGTTTCTAGAATATTGCCTTCCAGAGAGGCTCTAAAAATAATATAGAGAGGGTCCCCCCTGACCTATTATGAATATGTACATGATACATTGAGCCGATGTAATACGTAGATGTTCTCATTATTAGTTTTGACTTTTGACTATTTAATGTTGCTAGCTACAGAAGTATTGGACATAATCTTGTTGCTAGCACTTGGGGATTAATCAAAGATCAACATATAGTTAATGCTGGTAGACATGATATTTTTATGTTAGCCAAAGTATTACAAACTAGAAATGGATTAAAGTAAATCTGTACTTGTTTGATGTCTCAGACTTACAATAAGTTAGTTGCATGATGCATGGAAAGTTATATGTAAGCAAGTGTTATAAAACTGCTTTAGTTTATAACTAGGATCTCCTAAAGATTGTCTCCAAAGTTTTGATAATATTCACCAAAGTGTGTTTACTGTTCTGTGTCTACTACTTATTTTTTGGATAACTTTCAGAATCTGGCCACCATCTAGTTCTTTGTTGGGCCAAATGCAATTTGTGGAAAAAAATCTTGTGTGACCAAATTGGGAGGTAGATTTGGCTGTAGTCTTGTAGTCAAATTTGGCCAATTCTGGCTACAAGCTGACATGCATAACCCTTGGAAAGATGAATATACACACACCTCACGCACATAAAAGATAATTGACTTATGTAATTTGAATTGCATTGCATATCATATGAGTTTAACGCACCTCATGGACATAAAAGCCATGCCAACGAATACAGCTTTCACAGCATCCTTGCGTCCAGCGTATTCAATTGCTAATGGTAGCATCTCATACAGTGTCAGAAATGCCATTACTCCTCCCACTGTACAAAATGGAAAATTTGAATAAATATTATGTTACTTAGCAAAACTTATTAACATTTTTGAACTGTTCTTTACTCATTACCTAATCCAAGTAGACCTTCCAATATTTCTGGATTTAAGTTGCTCGGAAATAGGTATGCTGCAAGTAGCACAATTTTATATGCCATGTTTGAGATACAAAAGAGGAAAATATAAATGAAGTGCACAAACTCAACCTAGGATGTTACTCACTGAAGGGGGGAAAATCTGCTTGTAATAAAGATAAGTTCTAGAGAAAGATTAGTCGCAACTGGTTGTTCACTGTTTAATAAAGCTCTGCATCTCATTGATTAGAGCATTTTTTAATGATCTACTCCCTCCGTCCTATAATATAAGGTGTTATTACAACCAGTGTACTCATATATTGATTGTAATAACATATTATATTATGGGACGGAGGGAGTATGTACCAAGATCCATTTTCAATGACTGAGCTTCTCAATCAGATAGTAACATGGATCAGTACATCATTACTTCGTGGGGAAAACTCAATTGCTTTGAACAAGTCACTTGTAATAGAATAAGCGAAGACAACCTACCGACGATAATTACACCTATTGGTTCCGCAAAACCAGCAAGGGTTGCTAGTTTGAACGCTTGCCATTTGCTGCATCATAGACACAAAATAACAATATTATTAAACTGCAAACAGCAAAGCTTATTTTCTTTCCAAATCAGTGTGACTATAATATTTATTATACATTTTATGTATTTTAGCAATTATATGCTTTTTTATTATAAAACAAATCATATGCTTCTTTAGGTAATAATTAGTTTGACTAACCTTGTGAATTAAACCAACTAAGCTGTGCCTATTTTCTGATCATTTAGGTGAGGTTTTTTATAAAATATGCCTACATATGAATCAGCACTGTCATGTTAAAATATGTACTTCCTTGTTTAGCTGCAAGTCTTCTCAACCCAGCATTCACACAGACCAAGAAAACACTATATCTAATAAGTTGGTGAGGAATGATCATGCATACCCCTAATAAATGAGATACTACAAGCACTTTACTCTTCCAGAGCACATTAAAGTCGGTGTAGAATGGACTATTGCATTAACCTATTTACCCCTCGATGGGTAGTTATTTTGAAGTTGAGACTTCTCAAGCCAGGGACAGTTAATAGTGAAGGCCTGAAGGGGAGAGTGTAAAATATATGATGCATATTGTGTAATAATTTTAGCCAGTACCTGCAAGTGGCAAAATATGCAGGGAGAGCTACAGCAATACCCTGCACATGAACAGAAAATTGCTACAAGTATTAGCAGATTCTTTGGTCTTGTAAACTTAGCTATGTCATTAGAAACACACCAACTTTTCACAAGAATCAGTTGTGTAAAACTTCACCCAATATAGTATTGTACTATTATGTATCTTCGAATCTGCTATGCATTTGCACCGTAAAAAGGTGGGAAGTATCTAAGTCCCAATTTTGTATGTTGGCGATTGATTGAGATTGGGAATGGAAGTTCCACTTCCAGTTTCCACCAAAATGGATATAGTTTAGACTTTAGAGTCATTTTAGATACTTAGATGACATTTTCTGCTCCATACCCATTCCCTATTCCATCTAAAAGCATTATAGATTTAATTACCTCCGGGATGTAGTGTAGAGCTATAGCAATAACCAAGTTAAGGCCAACACGGAATCCCTGAAAGGTAGATAAGATTAATGGGATGTACAACATAAACTACTACTCTCCATTAGTCAGTGTCTTGCTCATACTTATTTGATATGTTGACAGTGTTATGGGCTAAAAATAAACATGCATCCAGAATAACTGCAAAAATGCTATTCTACTATAACATGCACGAATGTCGAATGGAGATGTAATACTTTTAGACAAATGACCCGTAGATTGAAATATTAATATTTCTAGAATGTACTTATCCATGAAACAGAGTATGGAGTGTTCAATACTTCAATACGATTTATCAGGTACATAAATCAATAAAAAGAATACTCCCTCCGTCCCGAATTACTTGCCTTAGATTTGTCTAGATACGGATGTATCTAGACACATTTTAGTGTTAGATACATACGTATCTAGACAAATCTAAGACAAGTAATTTGGGACGGAGGTAATACCAGTCAATAATATATATAACATTAATTGAAATTTATCGTAAAAATTAATTCAATGGCAAAGGATAACATATACAAGCAATTTACTGATTCTGTCAAATGTGATCTGCCTGCCTATAATATACTAGTATTTTCTCAAATATATACCTTTGCGGTTCCGAGAAATGCTGCAGTACCCACCGGGAAGTTTTGCAAACTCACACCAGCAACTGTTCACATAAGAACTTCGTTCATGAATGTGATCATTAAAAATTATAAACTTGTAGGAAAGGGGCATATCATTGTGTATATGATATATTGTTCTACATAATTTTGAGAACTTTCTAATTTCATGTGCTTGATTTATTTTAGATTTATTCTTCTATCGCGTACTTTATGAAAAACTACTGCTGCTATCACCTGCCAAGATTGAATTAGTTTTAGGTGTTCAACAGGTGCTGTTGAAATAGAACTATTTTTGGTCATAACTCTATTAAACACTGAACAGGTCCTGAAGTTTTACTGCCAGCATCACTTGTTAAATCATGTCTATGATCTTAAATTGTATTTAGGTGTTCAATCTGAATCCTTTAATCTAATATTTCTACACACTGTCTTGTATGAACAAGCCCCATACGTTTGTTTGGAGTCAATATGCTCGAGCTCAGTACTGAAGTGTTATGTGTAGTCATATAACAATATCATCTGAAGAACCTATCACGAAAATGTGGATTTCTGTATAATATCTTAAAGGGCATGTTTTCTCTTTCCGGGCTCATGTTGTTGAAAACACTGTGATGCATTTTTGGTACTTGATGTTACAAGTTTTGCTTACTTCATGCTGTACAATGCTACTTTTCATTTGAAAGATTGAGCACACATGGATATATTCAATTATTCATACATTGAATGGCTGATAAGTTATCTTTGGTTCAGAAGCATCAACGTAGATGTGCAAATAGTTTGAGTAGAAAATATTTTATATGAAGCTAGCAAAGTACATCAGACTTACCAACTGCGGTGACAATTACACTAAAGATGACTCTTCTTCGGTGTCTCATCATAAGTTCCTTCCGTGCTGTACTGTTAACAGTCTTCTTCCCCAAATGAAATAATCCTATGTTACTTTTTCGATAAATGCTGACTGAAAAAGGCTGTTAGCAAAGTTGAGGGAATTTATACTTGTTTGTCATTTTCATCCGGTGGACTGCATTCTGGCTCAGGGAAAATATCGGCAATTGCTGAAAATAGAAGTGCCCCAGCAAAAAACTGCAAAGCAAGGATGAAAAAGATAAGAAATGGTACAGATGCCTTGCAAAACATCTTGCTTAAAACGCTCACCCAAAGGTTGCCTTTCAGAAAACCAATTGCATTAACAGCATCATAAGCCAGGTCAAAGAAGGACATGCTCAACATGAGCCCAGTAGCAAATCCCTAAAAAGAGTTGTCAAAACAATTGTTAAACGTTGATTTGTGTATAAATAAACCTATGCTGCTCTTTGGATGTGACCTTATGGTCAGAGTTAAGTAAATTGTTGTAGCATTTCACCTGTAATATCCCGAGTGTTCTGTTGTTTGGGGCATGATTTAGTATTGCCAGTAGTGCACCTGATGAGTAGCAATAAAGTATCATTGGCAAAAGTAGCAGGCAAATGCTAGATATCAAGAGGCACAACATCTTGCTTTTCATCTCTGCCTAGTCTATATCATTCCAACGCTTTCCAAATAAATTATGGGAAAGCTCCCATTGAGAAATAAAATTGCTTCTGGCTGTCACTTGAGTTATAGCAATAATAGTATCTGTAAAGCATCAGCTTATGGGCCCTCTATTCACGTTAGATCCTGGTTATATCATATTGCGTTGCTTACGAACTTAACACTTAAAGGCTTACTAACTAAACACTCGTCAGTTTTAAAAGCTGGAGTGTTTTTCCTGAAAACTTAAACCTACACTTAAAGGCTAGTTGGTGTCGAGGATTGGCAGGATGAGTTGGACACAGTGCAAAGATGGAGGGGGATACGAATTTGGGCGATGAGTGAGTGGATTCTGCTCTGGAAGCGGGTGTGCTGAACCAACAGGTAAGGACGTGTAATCCTTGTGCTCATGTGTGCTTCATCGAAAGTAATGTGTACACAAATTCTTCCCATTCTTGGTGTAACAGCAGCAGTCTATTTTCTCTCAGCTGTTAGATGCCAAGTATAAACTGAAAAGATTAATTACTCAATATTATGTTTCACTTTGAACAAACTACCATACTAACGGCCCACATAACATTCTCACAGGATATATATGAATGCCCCATGGACCTTGTACAATTTCGTGCTTAAGATGTACTGCGAGAAAAGAATCTTGATTGGAGCAACTAAATGGAAAACCCACACTACCAGTTACAGCTTTGGAAGGGAAACAATTGCAAAGGCAATGCATCAAATGAAACGCTTGATGCCAATGATGAATACTACTGTGCATGATAATAGTATGAACAGACAGCAGGAGTGAAGGGCTGAAGGAAGACGCATGTATGCGTACCGAGGGAGGTGCTTAAGCCGCCTACGAGAGACAGGGTGAGAGCAACAGCGACCTTGGGATCCATATGAACAGACCGGCTTTCTGATGGAGATGTATATGAGCTTTATATACAGGCCAGGATGGTGACTATGACGTTAGGCAGTCAAGGAGCCCCTGTGTGCGCGGCAACCGATGATGTGATTGAATGGAAAGAAGAGGGAGGGGTGATCAAGTGGAGCTGCTGGCGCCTGGTTATATATTAGCTTGAACATCTACTCAGAGAAGTTGAGGGGGGCAAGTTTGGAATGACTTGGCACATGCTTGCTTGCTCGGTAGCTGCCCTTAATTCTTGGACTTCCTGGTGGTTGGGGTATGCCTGCGGGTAAGGTCATGCTGTGAGGTAACTCTATGCTAGATTTCTTGTGTGTGGTAGATGGGAAGAAAGCTATTTGGGACTAGGAATCTTACAACCTGACTGGCAGAGCCTTGCTAACACCCGAGGGGCATATCTTACAAGCTGACTGGTAGAGCCTTGCTAACACCCGAGGGGCATATCTTATTTTGTTTTTGTATGGAATTATATCGTGTATGTAAGCACTAAATTTTGATTTTTCATCGTATAACTGCGGCACCATATTAATTACTCCCTCCATTACATCCGAGGGGCATATTGACACGTTTTAGTGTGTTTGTTCACTCATTTCAGTCCGTATGTATCCCATATTAAAATATCCAAAACATTTTATATTTGTGAACGGAGAGAGTATATTAGTGTGTGAAATGAAGGAGGTTGAATCGTCTAAAGTCTGTAGCACATAGTTATTAGCTAGCTGCTGGTAATCTGAGGTTGGTTGCGTATCTAGTGCATGCCATGAAACATGCCTCTTTGCTGCAAATGCGCAGTTGCATCACCATCATGATACAATAGTTAACTGAATTTGCAGATAAAAAGCAGCGAAAGTGGAGCAAGCAGGAGGCGGACGTAACAAAAAAAGGGACGCCCCAAGTAGTCGAGTGGTGCTCGGGTTAGATCAACTTTCTAGTCGCGTGTCAATGCTTGCTTGTCCCGTAGCCCAGTAGGAATATGTGTCACAAACTGAAGGAGAAGGAGAACCGTGCTACGTAGCAGTGCACGAGCCTAGATCCTGACGCAGGTCGCTGTCGTCGTCGGCGGCGGCGCATATGGAGGGGAGGAGGGCGAGCATGCGGCGGTCGGCGCCCGAGATGGGCGGGCCGGCAAGGAGCAGGCAGAGGCAGGGCTGCCCCAGCTCGCGCACCGCCCAGCAGCAGTCGTCCGTGGGCGGCGCCGGGCTGAAGGGCGCCACCGCCGCCTTGCACGGGATCATCAGTCCCAGCAGCGCGCCGAGGTAGTTGTAGCTGCTACTGCCGCATGCCGCCGTCGACTCTCCTCCTTTTCCTCCTGCTGCCGGCGGTGATTCTCCGACGACGTCGAGCACCAGTGACAATGACACGACTAGCAGTAACAAGAGGAAGAGATCTGGTTTCTCGTCACGCCCCCGATGAATCATTCCGAACCAACGCAAGCTTGCTAGTGCAGCATGGTGAAATGCATAAATAAGACGTGATTGGATTGGTTGGTTAGGTAGGTCATGCGGTACGTCTTCTCTTTTTTTTTTGAGGGAATGCGGTACGTCTTCTCTAGCAACCAATGAACGAATGCGTGAGTGAAAAAATACCCCCTCGTATAACTATAAGGATTAGTTTCATCCAATGCGACATGGAGTTTGTGAGCTACTAGCCCGAGTGAGCGGTAAATTTCATAAGAATAGCATTTAAAAAAACTGTTTTTTTTCAAGAAACATTGATGTTTTTTCTAAATTTTCACAACGAAATCACATTCATGGAGGTGTGGGAAAAAATTGTTGCTCCAGAAAGTGTGTTTTTGAAGCATTTTGGAGCGCTGTTTTTTTCCACACCTGCACGAATATGATTTCATCATGAAAATTTACACGCGTGTAGAAATACATCAATACTTCTGGCAAAAAAGTCCACAATTTATTGAAATTTTTACTATTCTATTGGAGTTTACTGTTCGCTCGAGCTTATGTGAGAGGGACGGTTCAATGGATGATTCATATCTCCCATTTTAACAGCACTTTCGCATCCAATGCAAATATTTTACTCACACAACCATTTGAAAGCACACTAAACAATAACCGAGGTCCGGTTCAATGGATGATCCATATCTCCCATTTTATTGCCTTAGTACCTACTGCGAGATAATGTCATCGCAGCTTATGAGTGCTTACACTATATGAAGAATAATAGGAGTAAGAAGAACTCTCATTGTGCCATTAAAGTAGACATGCAAAAGGCTTATGGCAGGATGGAATGGGTATATCTGGAGGCAATCATGCGGAAAATTGGTTTGTGTGACTCCTTTGTGAGTGCAGTTATGAGAGGAGTTCGGTCTGTTTCATTCTCTTTGCTTTTCAATGGCAATCGAACAAGAGAATTTATCCCATCAAGGGGAATAAGGCAGGGGATCCTATTTCTCCCTATATGTTTCTGCTGGCAGGTGAAGGCCTTTCTTGTTTGATCAAGCATGCCAGCAATGAGGGAGTGCTTCAAGGGATAACAATTGCACCTCAAGCCCCAACCGTCCATCATCTTTTATTTGCCGATGATTGTATACTTTTTTGCAAAGCTAAGAATGATGAGGTGGAGGCGCTCAAGTCTGTCCTGGATAGGTATTGCGGAGCATCTGGACAGCGTATAAATGTTGACAAGTCAACGGTGTATTTTGGTAAGGGCAGCCCGGAATCAGCAAGGAATGAGATCAAGGGAATTCTGGAGGTGCATAATGAGACACTCAATGAAAAATATTTGGGGCTACCTACGGATATGGGGGACTCCAAAAATGGTGTTTTTAGCTATCTAAAAGACCGTATATGGAAGAGGGTGCAAGGATGGATCGAGAAAACTTTAGCGGGGAGTGGGAAAGAAGTGCTCATAAAATTAGTTGTGCAAGCAATTCCCACCTACTCGATGGCAATATTCAAATTACCACGGGGACTTTGTCAGCACTTGACGTCTATTATCCGCAAGTTCTGGTGGGGAAATAAGTCAGGTGAAAGGAAGACGGCATGGGTGGCATGGGATGATATGACAATGCCGAAATATAAAGGGGGTCTTGGCTTCAGAGATTTGGAAATATTTAACCTAGCCCTGTTAGCAAAACAGGCCCGGAGAATCCTTCAGGAACCAGACTCCTTGAGTGCTCGAATTTTAAAGGCAGTTTACTTTCCGTCCTCGGATATTCTTTCAGCCGAGGTGGGGAGCTGTAACGCCCCAAGACCGATGTGCCAGGTGCCTTCGAGTTATTCGCTGCTGTTGCCATGTCATTTGCTTGCGTGTTGCATCTTGTCATGTCATCATGTGCTTTGCATCATCATGTTTTAAAACTTGCATCCGTCCCGGTCTCCTCGTTCCTTCCGTTGTCCGTTCTGAGTCCAGACACCCTTGCACGCGCCCGCGGCATGTCCGAAATATTATTCTATAAGTGGCCGGAAAATGTTCTCGGATTGGGTTGAAAGTTGGCGTGTGGCCTTATTATAGTGTAGGTAGGCCGCCTGCCAAGTTTCATCACATTCAGAGTTCGTTTGATAGCCCAACCGTTAAACTATAGTGGCATTATAGCCGGTCTAACGTCGGACGTTTTCGGTCTCCGAAAACAGTCACCGGGTCTCTCTCTTCTCTCTTCTCAGTCCATTGCCTTCTGCACTACATCTCACCGCCAGGCCCAGCCTAACCTCTTCCGTCAGCACGCGGCCCTCCTCGCGCGCGTGCCCGAGAAGTTGTCCCGGACCCGACCCGAACAGTCATCACCGTCGTGTCCGGATCATCCCCAAACATCTACAAAATATCTCCGTTTTCTTTGTTTGGTCTCCCTAACCTATTTATCTAGGACCGTCCAATTTAATCGGAGGGACCAAATACCCCTACCCAAAAATTCACTTGTTATTTAAAGACCAAGCCCTCCTAGGGGAGCTGTCCCATCCATCAATCCCCATGCCGCCGCCACCTTCCTCGTTTTCCCCATCGATCCAATCCATCGATCCCTCCCGATCTCTCCACCCAACCAGTGAGCCTCCTCCCGATCCCTTCCAAATCAATCGCAGTAGCCTCGCTCCGTTTGAGAGGAGCTCGACCCCGAGACTCCAGCCTCCTCTCGCACCCGAGGGGCTCCCCAAGCACCTCGTTCCTGTCGGCTTTGACACCGAGCCACCGGCGAGCAGCAGCTGCAGAGCCATCGCCAGGCCAACCCCGTCGCGCGCCATTTTCTTTCCCTTCCTCCCTGGCTCACTTCTCCTTCCATTCTCTGATCCCTCCCTCTCTTTCTCGATGTGTGTTGACCGCAGGAGCCGCCGTGAACATCACCGCAGCAGCCGGTCGACCCCGCCTCTCCTGCCCGTTGACCGCGCCGCCGGAGCCCTGCATCGCGCCAAGCGTCGCCGGCGCCCCATGTCCCGCCACCCGGATCCGTCTCTCGAGCGCCGAGGACCCCGTCGTCGGACCAGCAGGTCCACTCGCCCCTTGCCCCTTTCCTTTTCCCCTGGTTCTCCTTCTCCTCTAACCATCTCTCTCTTCTGCTCATGAACCCTCGTCGCCCGTTGCCCTCTCGTTCGTCTTCCTGCGGATCCAATCCTCCCGCTGCCGCCTCGCCAGCCTCACTCATGCCCCTGCTCGTCGGCGCCAAGTCCCTGCCGTCGCTGCTCCGCTTCCCTGCCGAACAGAGGACGCTCGCTCGTCCCAGCCACGTTGACCGTCGATCCACGACACTTGAGCACCCGCGGGTCGGCCTCCTCCGTGCCAAGGCCCAACTCCTCTTCGCCAGATCCGCGGGCCTCCCTCTGCTTCCAACTGGGCCATGGCCCATGGTGAGAAACCCCCAGGGCCCATGTCCTGTTTCGGCCTGTAGCTCTAATTCGGCCGGATATGTTTTTTTTCGGGTCCTGCGAATTTTGCCAATTATCCAGAGAATTACATATTTGCAAAAAAACCCTCTAACTTCATGCATATAATTACTCATGAACCATGCATCCATTTAAAACATGTCATATA